AATGTTTGTAGGAAAATATTTACCAAGTTCTATCACTCTGTGGTGGAGAATGTTGTGTTCTTTGCAGCTTTGTGCTGGGGCAGTGGGGTGAAGACAGCTGATGGCAACAGGCTGAACAACCTGGTTAAAAAGGCTGGTTCTGTCCTGGCTGTCAGACTGGAGAACCTGGTGTCTGAGAGGAAAATGCTAGAAAAGCGTCTCAGTATCATGGACAACCCTTCTACGCCTCCATGATGGGCCATCGGAGCACACGTAGAAAAAACTCATCGCCTCTGAATGCAGAACTGACCACCACAGGAAATCCTTCCTGTGGTGGCAATAAGACTGTACAGCTCTTCTTTCATCGGTAGATGATTTTCTAGGATTAATATGATTGTATTTTGTTCTCACTCAGATTGTGCAAAATTATTCACCTGTATGTTACTGAATGTTTGTTTCATCCCCCATCATATGCTGCTACTCTCTTTATTCATTGCACTAACATTATGTCACTTGTCATAATTACTTGTAGTGATAGTTATGTCATTTTATTTTATCTGCGCTCATTTTTTCTCGTTGCATTGAGCATGTTTGCAACAAAAGAATTTCCCTCAGGATAAACAAAGTTCTTCTTATCTTAATCGGTTAATGGGCTTCACCTAATGAGAGTTTACGAGAGCTGACTGAAACTGCTGAGAATTATAGGACCAGTTGGAATAAATTCTTGCAACAAGAGAAACGTTTCAAATCACATACAGAAAGAAAGCTTGCTGAGCCGCTCTTCTTCAGTCTTCCCAAAGTATTTTAATTCACTGAATAAAATATCGATATTTAGCGTCCCTGTATCGGTATTACAGAACTAACATATTTTGACCTCACCTGCTCTGTGGAGAGCTGACAGGGAAGGGGCCATTCTCCATCAGGTGGAGGACATAGTAAATGTTGTAATGCAACCTGAGCAGGCAGAAAAAAGAAAGAAAAACAAAGTGTGACGAATAATGAGAACAGAAATCTGGATTGCTACTCGTTATTCATCTTACCTGTTACTGACAGTGACTTTGTTCCTTTCTAAAGCGAGCAGCATCATGGCCATGTGGCAGAGGTACTCTGTGATGGCCGAGTGTGACATGCAGCCCGTGAGCAGAGACACCAAGGCCTGCACATCACCAACGCCCTCACTCAGGATCAGTATGACAGCCATGGCTGCATACGGGTTAGGACCCTGGAAATCAGATCCATTGTGGACACACTTTAAAACTCAGATTGTCTCTATATGATCACATGGCATTTTTTATGTATTAATGAGTGAGTCATACAGTAATTCCAAGGTTAAAGTGCTTCTGAACATCAGAAATACGCAGTCTGATGGAGGCCTCGGCCTGAGGGAAAAGGCGATGTTTCTTTACACGCTCCAGAACGTCATCTGGCCTCAAGCGCTCTCCAACCTTATGCTGAGCCATTAAACTGATAATAAAGACAACACAAACACACAAAGTGACATTTTAAAAATGAGAAATTGATATCAAATTCCAGTCACACACAATGTGAGATCAGCTTATTTACACTTTTGTTTTACAGCGAGGGTGGCCACAGCAACTCGTATACAGGAGAGACTTGCATCACTTCCCAAACAGTCATATTAGAATCATATTAACCAGAAATACATGAATAATTTTCTGCAGTTCAAGGCGAGACTTCATGTGGTGGATATTTTACAATAACTTCAACTGTTTTGTAATTTTTCTTATTAAAGAAAGTAACTTACACAACTAGCTTTCGTATGCTGTGCTCTGAAGGTGCTGGCCCTGTTATACCGCTGTTCCTCAGGATGGAGCAGATCTCCATCTCTGTATGCCTCTCTCTCATCATGTAGCGATAGTATTGTTTCTTGAAAGGCACAAACTGTGAAGAGAAGCACATCCAACATGACTTTAACATTTCGCTCCACGTGCTCATTTTCATTTTGCGATTGTTGTTTGGTGTCATCTTACCGTGCTGTCCTGGACGATGTTCCTCCAGCGATGGCAAACGAGCCTGACATTGAGGTAGAGGTCCTGGGCAGGTAGGAGGCACAGCACCTCTCTCAGCACCTCCTCTGGAAGGTCGTCCATGCAGCCCTGGGGTTTCAGCAAGCCGCTTCTGCTGCCCAGGAGCCCAAAGTGGGCATCGGGAAGGGCCTCCACCTCCTCTTCTTCATTATCAATGTCACAGTGGTCAAATTCATCATCATTCCCAAACATCTCAGCCGTCATTCCCTCCAGATAATCCACCTGCTGCTCTACCTTCACCTTAGACTGCGGCATCATCTCAACAGCCAACAGGCTGGCATCGTCAATCTCCTCCTCGCCTGCCTCACGCTCTGGCATCATCACAGAAGCTAAAAGACTGTCATCGATCTCCTCCTCCTCTTTTACCCTGAGCTGTGGTGCCAAAGGTACAGCCAACAGGCTGATATCGTCATCCTCATCCTCCTCTTCTTCTGCAGCTCTTGGCTCTTCCTTGGAGGTGGAAGGCAGGGAGGATTTGTGCGGACTGGAGCTGATGACTCGCGCCACAGAAAAAAATTCATTGATGCCCTTCTGTCTCCCAGAAGGACTTCCTGTGGCAGGTGCTAAGAGAAAAAGGACAAAGATTTATAATCTGATTCCTTCGACTTTTTGTCAAAAGGCAAAAAATACATCCATAAATCATTGGTTTAGTTTAGTAAGGTTGTCTGTTGTGTTCTTTCATTTCTTTTGGTGTCACTGAGCTACTAAGTGATGATTTATCAAATTCTAAAGTCTTTGCTGATCTCTGATAGTTTTATTGGTGGTTTTCAGCCTTACTTGCTCCAACATATCTTTGGGTCACATATTTAAAATTGCATTAAATTTACAGTTAAATGCAGCGCACTTCAATCACAGCTTGACTGCTTGGTTTACAGTCCACTACAAAAACTGTGTCTGGCTGGGGGTGGCTGTAGCTCACGTGGTAGAGCAGGTCATCTGTTAAGCAGTCAGGACTTAACAGTTAAAAGTGCTTGATGGGGTGAATTAATTAGTTGTATAAAGCACTTATATATAAAGCACATATAGAGTTGAAAAGTGCTATATAAGAACCAGTCCATTTAACATTTACCAAGTCACATGCTCAGTGTTCTTTTTCTCACACCACACTGTAATAAAAGCTTTACACCACATTACCAAACTTTGGCCGCTTGGTGGGTGTCCTGGGGTAAAGCCCCCGGTTCGGATCACGGTTGCCCATCCTCTGGTTAAAGGTGTGAGGCCGGGTGAGGACTGCTCTTTGTCCCAGTCCATCACAGTCTTCTGCATTCAGGTGCCTCCTCTTGGCCTTTCCTAGGAAACCACACAACATCCAGCGGTGGCAGAACAATTCAAATCACAGTACTGGGATTATCCTGCATGCAAGGTAAGCCTTTCTTTAGCTTTCAGCCTACAATTGTTTGCTAACTAGTTTAACTTTAAAGATTATATTCAGTTTTGTGGGATAAAACATGGCAACAAGTCTAAAAAATCTCGTTAAAACTTTATTTTTCGTATACGTGCATTTCAAAAGTAGTACATGAGTACATACAGTGTACTTAGCTTTAAATCCTGAACTTACCTTTAACAGACACCTCCATTTTCTGCTGCTACGCCTACAATCTTTCAGTAACAAAGCCCCATAATTTCACGTAGAGAAGTCTTTACACACGAACAGCCTCAGAAAATACACCCGAACCGTCCAAGCTAACGTCCACAAACGATCACTGCTAGCCCGTGTGTGCCTGCTAACATTAGCACTACTTCTCCCAGAAGTGCTGCTAATGCAAAAACTACTTTAAAAACGCGACTTCTCTTAAATGTAAGCGGACTAATTTAACGTTAACAGGGATTCATTGGAGAAAACGTGCATGTATGTTTTTGTTTTCGAGGAAAGCTTCTGAAGTTGCAGGTCTGGTGTAATTGGTCGGTTTGTTCTTCTTTGAATCTCAAACCAACTTGAAAGGCGCATCATCGCCACCTACTGGAAAGCTGAAATTCGCATTTTGCGACATCGAGCGAAGTTCCAGTTTTTCAATGGCTTGATCCATACTGATACAGATGCCACAAAGTTTTTGCAAAAGTGAGCAAGAAAGATTAATGTAATTAATTTAAAAACTGATTAAATAAAATATCCTCTTAAATATCCTCTTATTTAAATGACAAACTGATTTGATTAGTAGACCCTTAACATAACAGATAGAACTCTATTTGGCTTACAGGGCTCATTTACACATTCCCTGATCTTATTTGAAATGGCAGCCATGTTTCTTATGAGCATTTACAACTGTAACAGCAAATAATAATAATATTTTTTTTTTTTAAATGCATCATAATAGTTCGATATTGATTAAAGTGAGCACTCTAAGCATTTGCCTTCAAATAAATTTTTGTTCCACAAATTTCCTCACCGAAGCAGTAAAAAGTAAAGTAAATTAAACAAACAAACAAACAAACAACCAACCAACCATGTAGTTTCCATATCTTTGTTTGTTAAAGAGTAAAATTTAAAACAGAAGCACATATTCCAGAACAAGTAGGGGGAATATGTTTATTCATGGGTCAGTAATTTCTAGGTGCTAGGGTAAATACAGTACCAATCTCCAGGTAATTGCACCACATCAACGTTTGAGGCACAGCAGTCACTGAAATCAATAGAGTTCATTTGCTGTACATTACAGC